ACCATCCTCCGTAGCCAGTCAAACTAGGGTTTTGGTTCTTGCAAGGAAGTTGAAATTTTCAAGGGCTCAATCAAGTCCCATATGCCTACAAACATTGTCAAGCATCCACATGTCAAGTTTCAAGGCTCACAAGGTCAAGTTGCACAGCCAAAAACCCTAATTGCTCCACAGTCAACTGCAGGGGCAAAATGGTCATTTGGCAGTCAAAAGTCAAAAATTTTGGTCAACATCTTATTTTGAAGCCACAATCATCATTTGGTCAAGTCTTGACCATGATTTCACAAGAATGGCTCAAAAATCATCAAGGTGTCAAAAGTTTCTATTTTTGGACAATTGAAAAGTCAACTGTAACTTGACCAAGGCATAACTTTTTCATGGTTCATCAGAAAAATCCCATCCAATGCTCATCTTGAAGGGGAGGACATTTCCTACAACTCATCTTCACATTCCAAGTCCAAGAAATTCTCTCACAAAAAGTTATCAATTTCAACATTATAGGTCATTTTCAAAAGTCAACAAAAAGGGACTTTAAGTCAAAGACCATAACTTGAGATTGGTAAATCAAAATGACATGGGACCAAGGACATTGGTTAGAGGACTTCAAGACCTTTCCAAAATGTCCAAGAACATGATCAAAGCTTAAAAATTGAGCAAGATATGCATTGGAGAAGTTGGGAAATTTTTGTGAAATGGCCAAAATCATTTATCCTTGAAATTTCATTTTTGACAAAAGGGGCCCACTTTTTCCACTTGAATCAGCTTGGCCATGCTTCCCACGTGTCCCACATTTTATTTCAAAATTTAAAATTAATTTTTTCATTTTTATTTGATTTTATTGGATTTAATTCATTTTAAATCTTTTAAAATCAAATAAAAATCAAAAAGATTAATTAAAGGACATATTTGGTTTTGATTAGCCTTGAATCACCATCAAACATATTCCAAATTCGTGCAAAAGGCCAAATGAAGCAAGAATTCAAAATTGGTACAAAGATGGAAAGTTTGTTAATGGAGGTTTATGGAAAATCTCAAGTTTGAATGCCTTGCATTATGAGGCCATAATTCTTATCAAAACATGTTACATAACACATATGCAAGTGATCAGACACAGAAACAAGACCGAAGTTGCGCTACAACCTCAGAACAAAACTTGCATTTTTTGCCAAAAAACTCAAAACTGAAAACACACCTAGAGCTTGTTTCAAGTCCTCATTCCTATCCAAACACGTTGCTAACATCCCAAGGGAGCTATTCCAATCAGAATCAACTCCCCACGCGCAAGGAATTGGTATATTGATGTCAAACTTTCTCAAACTTTTCTCATAATCGTGTTCCAATATACATGCATTTTTTATACATTTTGAATATGGATTTACACTAATATGAAGGTTCTGAGACTAATGGTGACCTTTAATTTAACTAACAACGCCTGTAGCGAAATATGCCATTGAAACTTTCTAGGGTTGCAGGAGCTGTGAATTGGGGTTTCTTTCCTCTGAAAAAATTGGACCACGAGACCACTACCATTGCACTCGTGACATTCCAATGATTCCAAATCACCCATCGCGCTCAATTTATGATTGAACATGAGCTATTCGCTATTATCCATAAGCCTGTGTTTTGGGGGGGTTTAAAACCCCCGCTATCCTTTTTTTGTTACAGGAACGATTGGAGAAGAAGACTGAGTGGCACGACGTGAATGGAGGATTTGAATTCCAGCGCCTTTTTTTTATTTCATAACGTTGATTTTGATTTTATCTTATATTATTTATTTTCCACTCCATATACAAAACGCACCAACAGCACAATTGGCAAAGCATTACCTTGGCAAACGCAGGGACCTGGGTTCGAATCCCAGGTCCCCTCAAATTATTTCTATTATTTTGTTTAACCCTTTCCCATGCAGTACACCATTCAGTGATCCATCATACACCCAGCGTTTGTGCTTACCATGTGTCTCTAATGGTCAATCCAGTGGCTATTACCAGCCATCCACCATACGCATCAGTCAAACGTTCTCCACATGATTCAAAAAGTCAGCAAAGGGCCTCCTTCTGTTGGGCCAAAATTCATCAAGCCACCTCCTCAATTGGGGTCAACACCCCCCATGGTTTGCATATAGTTTTCTTTCTTTTCATTTATTTTATTTGTTTTATTTATTTTAATTAATTCATCAAAAACAATTTTCATAAAAACCAAAAAATCAGAAAATCATAAAATAAAAATATGTTTTATTTAATTTAATTCATCAACATTTTTGTAAATAAATTTCATAATCAATTTAGTTTTAATTTTAGGTTTTAACTTTAATGCTTTTCTTTCTTAAATAATTAAAAACATAAAAATAGGTCTTTTATCCTTTTTTATTATTTCTTCTTAATAAATAATCTTTTTGTTCTTGTCACTATTAATTATTAATTATTTTTGTAAATAACTTATAATTAATTAATTAGGGTAAATTAGGTTACAACTTAAACATTTTTTTTATAATTAAAAACAATTTAGAATTAGGATTTCTTTCAATATTAATTTCCTTTATTCTCATTAAATTTCATAAATACAAAAAAACATAAAAAATAAGTCCTTTCCTTTATTTAATTTAATTAATTTAATAATTTCAATTTAATTTCTTTAAAGGGTCCAACGCCCTCGCACTCGATTCTTATTTCCGTTCGCGCATTTATTTTTTTATTTTCTTTATGAATGTTATGTAATTGCCCCAAGGCCTTGTAATAATAATTAGAGACTTATTTACTTTCCGTACTTTTATTCAAATCGGGTCTTGGTTTAATTTGGCGATGTAGACCCGCGCCTTTGTAATAGCGTAGGACCTTTATCTTTTCCGCACTTTAAATTCCCGCACCTTTTAACTGTTAATAATCACATGAAAGAATGTATGCCCAAAAATAAAATCAAAGCGTAGATCACCAATGCATGACAAGACAAATAATAACTGAAAATGACACACAATTCACACACCACTCTTAGGGTACGCCTCACTGTTGCCTTGCCCCTCGAAAGGTGGTCATCGAGTATAGGAAGTTTTAGTAAGTCCTTATGTCCATGAACATGGCATAAGGGTAGCTTCTAAGGTGTCCTACTATTGCTCTGGTGATCACACTGTTGCCTTGCCCCTCGAAACGTGGTCGTCGAGTACAAGACGTCTTAGTGAGTCCTTATGTTCCATTGATCTAGTTGCCTCGAATAAGTTGCCTCGAATAAGTTGCCTCGGAATGGTCGCCTCGGAATAAAAAGATCAATGGCATAAGGGTAGCTTCTAAGGTGTCTTACCGTTTCCCGGTGACCATACTATCCCTAACCCTCGAATTGACCCGAACACCTCCAACGGTGGTGCTACCTACCTCTCAATGGTGGGATGGCACTACCTAAAGGACACTTACACAGACTAATTCCTTAGGGTAGGTAGATGACTCGTAGATACTTGCTCTAATTCAAAACAAATCAAAAACTTCTTTTCACACCGACACTTTTCAAAAAGCTTTCAAAAACAACTTTTCAAACACTCTTGAGGACTGATACAAGAGTCGAACTGAAATTTTAAACGAAACTTTTTCAAACCCACTCACCTTGAAAAGCAAACAAACATTTTGAAAACACAAATGAGCAAGTATCTAAGAGCCCTTGGATAACCATGGATAAAAAGGGTGCTAACACCTTCCCTTTCTATAAATCTACCTCCCGAACCGAGAGCTAATCTCAATAAGGAATTTTTCTGTGCTTTTGTCCTTTCCATATTGGAGAAAATAAAAGACGGTGGCGACTCTTGCTTCCGCGACATTTCGCGAACCAGCGTTAAACAGTCAGTTCCAGATCCACCGATCACAGTTGACTTTTTCCCCAATATAGCTTATTTTTATGTCAACTCCTCAATTGACTAATCAAAAATGTGATCCAAGGCTTGAAACTTAACATAAGTAATCTTGGGGGTCCATAATGATCCATGAAAATAATATGGGGCATTGGAAGTCCAAAAATCCTTGTGAAATCTCAAACCCTAATTTTGGTCATCAGGGCATAAGGAGGTGTCTTGAGCTGATCAAACCCTAATGCAGTCTTGAGCCCAAGGAGATCTTGTGGGAAAATTCTTGATAAGTGAGAGGGAAAATTTTGGGGTACAACACATACTTACAACTACAATAGTTTTCTTGCAAAAAACATCAAAATGAGTTTCATAACATAGCAACAAGGTTTCAACCTCTTGGACCGAAACAAATTTGAATTTCCCATTGATTAAGCTATTTGATTAAGCTAAGAAGAAGTTCAAACACAAAGTTCTTGCAATTTTCCAGGTGAGTGGGACAACTATGATCAAAGTTGGCACTGCTTGACATTTGTGTGCTATTAAAAATATGCATGGATCTTACCTCATAGGATCCAAGAGCTTCTGCATCCTAATCACGCGAATAAGCATTTCACAAGAAATTATGGATTGCATCCACGCAAGTAGGATTTGATCATGTTGTTCAAGGCCTCTGATAGAAACCAACTGATATATAAAATAAAATAGGGAAAATCCCTTTGATTTACAGAATAATACCGCAGAACTTTGAGAGGGTCTGCACCTTCCAATGCCAAAATGACCCCTTTTCCTATCCAATTCCAATATAATCAACTCCCCAATGTCTTCCCCTATTTATTCTAGGCCTAAACACTTTGAATTAATATTATAATAATTCTAATAATTACCCACTAACTGATAATAATTTAATAACAATTACGAAATAGAAGAGTCTAACAATACTCCCCCCTTAAAGATTCACCTTGTCTTCAAGGTGAAAGGAATACACAATAGAAAAAATGTATTCTCCTGGATCCCATAACTTGAAACATAAAGGTTGAGTTGTACATGAAATAAGAAATTTCCCCCATATTCAAATTTGCTTGCTAATGGCAGTCCTCTCGGGACCACTTGTTGTGGCCACAATGGCACCGATAGTGGAAATTTTTTGTTCCTAGACTTTATCTTAGGAAATTTCTTGTTAGACTTTGCATGTGATGAAATATCCAACTCTGTCACTTCTCTGGACCTTTGCTTCACTAGCGGAAATCAATGAATCTGTATTTTTCACTTTGTCGCTCTCGCAATCAGATTTGATATCTACTTTACAAACTTCTTTTTCACTGTGTTGTTGGATTTGTGAGTCATCAACTTTACCACCAATCTTTTCTTCAGTTGGTAATGTTATTGGTTCTTGAATTTCACTGTTGCCTTGGATTTCCCGTGTTTCGATTTCAGACTCCAGTAGACAATCCCAAACTTCTGGTTAGAATTTCTTGAGAATGGAATTTACCAAATTCCACCAACAAGTATTTGGATGACTCTCCTTCCAAGAAATCCACCAATCAAGAGCATCTTCTCTCAATGAAAATGCTACAACCCGCTCAAGCTTCATCTCTTCACTCATTCTTCTTGACCTAAAATATTGCTCAGCCTGGATTAGCCACCAATAGGCCTCCCTTCCATCAAATCTTGGAATAAAATCTGCAGTCACATTCATACCAAAATTTCCAGCACACCGGCAAAATCTTTTTAGATCAAAATGGCTATAATACCAGTTGATAGAAACCAACTGATATATAAAAGAAAATAATAACATCATGGGAGTGTGCATCAAGTGAGCCGAAATATAACAAATTGATGAATGATGCAATGGTAAGTGATGCTAAATTGATCAATACTATGGTCATTAATAAGTGCAAGGAAATGTTCAATGGATTGGATTCATTGGTTGATGTTGGAGGAGGCAAAAGGACCATTGAAAAGGCCTTTGCCAAATCATTCCCACAACTAGGGTGCACTATATTTGATCTCCCACATGTTGTTGATGGCTTGCAAGGAAGTGATAACCTAAACTATGTTGGTGGAAACATGTTTGAGAAATTCCTCCAACTGATGCCATTTTATTGAAGGTAAATTGTTATATCATAATTTTATTGATATGTTCTTTAAAACATAGTTATGGCTTATAAAATTGTTAATTTCGTTTAAATGGTTTTGATCCTTATTAATTTGAATGAAAAAGCAGTGGATATTTCATGACTGGAATGATAAGGAATATGGAAAAATGTAAGGATGCAATAGCGAAAAAAGGTAAAAAAGGGAAGGTAATTATCATTGATATGGTGGTGGAGAAAGATAAGAAAAATTACAAAGCATTTAAAACTAAATACTTCTTGGATATGTTGATGATGGTAGTACCTGTTGGAAAAGAGAGAAACGAGAAAGAATGGATTCAGTTGATTTTCTTTGTCGGTTTCAGTGACAACAAGATAACTCCAATTTTGGGCTCAAGGTCTATCATCGAGATATATCACTTTTTGTCTTGAATCTATTTGTTTTATTGTTGATATATCATGTCTAATGATTCCATCTATTTGTGTAAACAAGAACTTGAGGATCCCCTCATAATAATCTATGAGATTAAAATCTTAAATATAAATGCTATAGTTAAAGTACTAGAGTTATATTTAAAGCTTTAAAGGTGAGTAATACTATTTTCAGCATTTTACATTGAATTGTATAATATTGAAACTGACCAACACTTTTTCATCAGAAAGAAAGAAAGACCTTTATTGATTATCGTCGAAGATGTTGAAAGTGATGCCCTTGCAACTCTTATCCTTTATATGATGCACGAGAATCTGGCATGATATTATGGTAGATTTATTGTTGTTTGTTTAGATTTTCATAATGCATGTAAAGGTTTAATGCATTATATGAAGTAATATCCATATGATGTAAATCCATATTGATTGCAGATCCAAACGGGATGAGGGATGCAATGAACTTGGAACATCATATTCATTATCTGTAAATTGAGGCTTGTTGTTGTACCCTAAAATTTTCCCTCCCATTTTTACTCAAAGCATGCTCCTAGAGATCCTCAATTGCTCAAGGTTGACCAAGAATTAACCAGACAAATTCTCCTCCTAAGCAATGAACCTCTAACTAGGGTTTCACTTATCATCAAGATGTTTGAGCTCCAAAGGTCTCAAATGTTTTCCATGGTCCTAATATGTCTTCAATATTGTCCATGACAAATTTCATGCCTTGCACTACAAGTTTTCTCAGTCAATTGCTCAAATGCTTGGAAATCAATTGCACTAGGTCAAAAGTCAATTGTGGCCCAAATATAGTCAAACTTCATGATTTTTGGTCAACTTCGACATTTTTAAGTGATATCCATCATTTGATCAAAGGTTGGTCATGATTCATCAAGAAATGCTCCTAATTCATCAAAAGTCAAAAATTGCTAAATTAGGGTGTCTATAGGAAAAATCAACTGAACTTTGACCTGACATAACTTTCACATACTTCATCCATTTTTCCCCAACCAAAGCTCATATTAAATATAATCTCATTACCTACAACTTATCTTCATCCATCAAGTCCAATAAATGCACCATTTGAAAAACACAAGCTCATACATTACAGGTCATGTTCAGAAAGTTAACAAAAACAACTTTTTCCAAGACCTTTTACATCAAGATAACATCTTCAAATGCAAAATTAATCAAAAGAGGGATTGAGGTAGACATCTTGGGATTTCCGAAAAGTCTAAGATCATCATCATGAGATACAAATTGAGAAAGTTATGGCTTACCCAAGTTGGGAAAATTTGGGAAATTTCAAGATTGTTGCATTGAGCAAATTTGAAGTTTTAAGGCAAGGGCTCATTCTCTTGGATTTCAAACATCTTCCTAAGATTATAGAGGACCCCTAAAACCATTTTTGCATAGTCTTGATTTTATTTGCATTAATTTTATTTAATTAAAAGTCAAATAAATCAAAATTATTGCAAAGTATATGGGCCATTATTATTTGGGCTTGGTTTGATGCATGGAGATGCCCCATATTTCGTGTACAACAAGGTCAGCATGTCCAAGTACATTCAAATTCAAAAAATAAACAAGTTTCCATGTTTTTGGCCAAAGTTACAATTTTGCATTCATGGTTTTGAAACCACGTAATCATGGTTGTTATTCTCCTTGTTTTCTTGTCTCCTCACTCCTCCCTATATAAACAAGACATTAGCAAGCCAAATGGAGGCCGACACAGTCCCAAGAGTTCACATGAAATTTCCAAAATTTCCACCAAAGTTTTCAAAATCGCGTCTCCAATTCCAACCATCATTTGTCCAAACAAAGGGTTCAAACACCTTCCTGAGACTTCCATGAACCCAACCCAGCCATTATTCAAGCCATCCCACGCCTAGAAGCATCAAACCGGATCACCCATTATTGGTAAATTTCTTGAATCCGTATTTTTGATTTCACATTGAATTAACCTTTCTCAGTGTTTGATTCATGTTCAAGGCGATATATAGTGTAGGACCAATGTAATACAAGTGAGAAAAGGGGATAGAACAAGATCGTGCCATTTCTAGGGCAGGATCTGTGTTCTTCACTATATCTCATGATACAGGTCATTCCAAAGTGAATAGACCCCATAATCAGATTCAGGGGGAAATTTCGTGTGGGGTAGAGATATTTGCTTTCATTTGAACTCACGTTTGCTGATTTTTGCAAGTTTGAGTGCCCGGAGAAGACGACTGGAGTTTGACTCTGGCATCCCTCCGGTTGAGCGCGTTGTTCATCCCTCATTGGGCCACTCAAACTCATCGCGCATGTTTTTTTAATTTTAATACATCTGACCATTTTTTGTATATATTATTTTCGTTTAATATATGTAAATGAATGACTAAATGACTAAGTTGGCAGTGGGGCGCGTATATGAGGGAGAGGACCTGGGTTCGAGTCCTAGGTCCAGTATTTTACCTTTTCTAACATGTTTTCTACATATTCAGTGTTATTCATGGCCAGGCACATATGATACACCATCCATCCACACCATAAGATGTCCATTTGATCAGATCTAACGCATCTCATCTGCAGGCTCACCATGCACCCTCAAGGCCAGTCCTTATTAAATCCAAAGTCAAGCATGGACTTCACAACTTTGGGCCCAGCGAATTCAATCTCCCACCCCCCATTTTGCATAGACATCTCAGGCCCATTTTGTTTTCTTTTATTTGTTTAAGTTTTTTTTATTATTTTCGTTTTCTATATTAATTATTTAATTAGCAATAAATAATCAAAAATCACAAAAAAATTATGATTAGTTTTTTTAAATTAATTAAATTGATTTCTTAAATTAATTAATTAATTAACTTCAACATTTTCTTTCTTTTTTTTTCAAATTTAAAATAAAGTAGACTTAGGTTTGATTTTATATTTTTAAGTAGTTTTCATGTCATAATAAAAAAACGAAAAAAAACTTAGATAATTTCTTAATTAAATTTATTTTTCTAAATAAATTTTAGGATAGTTCAATTATTTCCTTAAATAAAAAAAATGCAAAAAATATTAGGTTTTTGTTTAGAATTTAATTCTGATCAATAACTTTCTTTTTATTTTAATTAATTAAATTTAGGTTTAATTTGATTTAGTATTTTCCTAAATAAATAAAAACAACCAAAAAGATTTTTACTTAGCAATTCCTTAGGTTTCTTTTAGACATAATATTCATTTCGCGCGCATTATTTTGTCCTCACATTTTTATAATAATGTAACTGTATACTGGTATATAATAAACTAAGTAGGACTTTTTTGTCGCTTTCTTTATTTTACCTTTCCCCCAATTTTGCATATTGTAAATACCACATCCCCGAAGTCATATAATAGTGTAGGTTTATACTTCCGTACTTTATGTCTTACAAAATATTGCTGCTAGTAACTAGGCATGTATGGCAAGACTGAAATTAAAATGTTAGCAAACCCTAAATGCGCAAGATAAATAACATGAATCAAACACCATGCACATATACACCTCTAGGGTACCCCACTTCGGTTGCCTTCGGAAAACGGTCACAGTTCTCGAAACGTGAAAAGTTTTAGTGGACGTCCTCTAGTTTGAAAGATCACAAGTCCCTTGATGATCCTTTCGATGTTTCCTCGGTTAAAAGTGATCTTAGAACTTTAGGATAATTACTAAAATTTCTTGCCAAGTTGCCTTTGTGACCGTAACGTCCCTTCGATGTCCCTCATACATCTAACGATAGGTCTACCTACTCACTAATAGTAGGATAGCATTGTCTAAAGGATAAGAGGAAAAGAACTACCCTTTTCGAGTATAAAAGTAGATAGCACTGTCTAACAGTTGGTTCTGCCACCGTATCACAGAACTGGCGACTCTGCTGGAGACATAATAAAAGTGGGGTTACCTTAGAGTTTAGTTTATCACTTTAAATTTCTTTTTGTATGCTTTGTTTGATTTATCCTTAGAGGGCTATTTGGGTTGTTACTATAGATCCTACACCCGGATCTGGGGCACACTTTTAGGTAAACAACAATAGATTATGAAGACTGTACAACATAGTCCGATATGGTTGAAGTGATATCTGTGTTAGTGTGACACTTTGGTTGATACCGGTATCCCTTGTGTTAAATCGAGGAGAATATGAGGCCGTCGCATGGTGTCATGAAGCACTAATGGAAC